GTGTCATTAGCATCTCCTAGTCTTTGCTGGGAAGCGTCCCCCCCCTCCCCAGGGGGGCCATTCCCAGAGCTGAAGCAGGAGCAGGGAAGGTGGTAGTCACTGGGCCTCAGAGCAGGGGTTATACCATTGAAACCCAGCTCAGGCCATGGCAAGGCTGATCCCCTGCACTGATGTGTCAGCACACAGCTGAGGCATCCCTCTGATAAGGGCAAAAAACATGTTTCCTGAGCTAGAGATTCACTCAAATAAAAATTCTGGTATCGTATATATCTGTATACAAATTATTTTTTAATTTATTGTAGAGAAGAATTTTAGCTTTGCAGCAAATGAAAACTGAAAGTCAATCCATGATTCAAAACTTTTGATAATCATGTTCAGTATTTTAGTGCTGCTGAAGTATTAATGCAAGGTCATATTCATTAAAATCTAATGTGGTGATGGTATTTTTCCTACTACAGGTGTAAAAGACTTAATTACTTAGAGATCATTGGTCCTGATATGATTTCAAAGACAGACAGGAGAAGATATTTGAAGTTCAGCTATGTCAGTGTTACACCAGCACAGTTTTTAACGAAACTGTGTTCAAGACCCATTTCATAGATTGACTTAGAGATGAAATGATAACATCTATTAAACATCTTGGATCATTTAGAATCTTACAAATATGTTAAAGCTACAAATAAATGCAGTCAGATGCTGATATCCAAAGCCCATAGAACTGCACTTACACTATCATACATTAAATTTAAGAAATATGCACAGTGCAATCCGTATCTGCTTTGTACATAATACTGTTGAATATATAGTGCATTAAAGTAAGTGGTAACTGTTATATGTTAATGCTGTTAAATTCACAAAAAATGCACCAAACTTAGACCTGACTAGTTTAGACTTTTACCATGTAAAAATGGCCCATTTTTATTGAAAAGTAGACTGATTATAAAGTACAGATTTTAAATAAAGACTATTACTAACTTATTTATTTAAATATTTTAGCCTTGTACTAAAGTTATTTGTAAACCTGCCATTAAATTTGTTGTAGATCATTATAAATTATGTTTATAAGGAATTTATTGAACTTCTGGATCCTATCATCTCTTAACCTCAGTCTGGATTATAAACAATAAATGAATGATTCTTAGATGTTTTAATCCTCAACACACAGTAAGAAATTAACTTGTTATTAAGAGGACTAGAATACTCCTATTTGCATTAATGTATGTGTTTGGCAAACACTAACAGAAAAAAAACTCTTTCTGCACCATTAGCTTGTAGTTTTACATTGTTTTAGGCCACTGCCACAGATTTGGGCTTGACTAGGTGTGTAAATCAGCCACTTTGTTTCACATGACATGAAGATCCAGTTTCAAAGTCATTTTCTAATCATGTTTACACTGAAGAAAAAAACCCACAACAGCTTCTGTATATTCAAGAAAGCAGTAACCTATACTTAGTAGTTAAACCAAGCAAACTTTTCACACTGAAGTGACAAAAGAAATCTTCATGATTTTGTTTTATTTTTCCTGAGCAATAATATGAAATGAAGAGTCTAAAAAAAACAAGAGCTTAATTGATCTGCTGCAGGAGATGAGCCATATTAAATTGAAATTCATCCAGTTATAATTTCATCAGGAAAAAAAAAGGACATTCCATTCTTAGTTGTTTTAGATTTCTTCAGACACTGAAACACTGAAAAATATGATACTCATAACATCATTGCTTGTAGTATGGAATCAGAAGCGTAAAACTGAAACTATAAGATTCTCCATTACATCTGTTTCTGTATAGTTCTCCTGTGGTCTCTGAAGATAAGCTACACAACCAGTAATAATAAGGAAATGATAGAAAATTCCTTCTCTTTATCCTCTCTTTCCTGTTAAGGAGAGCTGTAAGTTAAATATTCTATTCAATATTAATTGTAAGAGCCACGTTTTCAAAGAATGATTGAATAGCTGTATTTTCACAATGCACAGAGTAATCATTACTGTGGAAAAAGAAAAAAAAATTGACTACATAATAGTTAACCAAGGAAATAAAATTATTAACTGCACCAGAAAAATTAGTATGACTGTTTGCTGTTTCCATACTGAAGTTTTACTGTTGGTGGATTCAGAAACTGTGCAGCAAAAGGTAACTAAAAGTGCATGTGCTTTACATGTTTATGCATAATGAAATTTGATGTAAATCAACATTTACATTTAGCTGTAAAGCAAATGTATGAGATGATTTGTGTGAACTTCATTCCTTTAAAAAGCGAGAAACAGAATCAGCTGGAGCTCTCAAGAAGAGGGGAAGATTTCTCCTTTCCGAAGGAGTGACTGAGGTTGGAAGAGAGAATACAGTACCTATACCTACTTGAGTAGGTACTGCAGTACACTAGCAATGAATCTGTAAAGCAAAAATGGCGGTGCTGCAGAACTCACAACCACACTATACAAGATATGGAGGGCTTACTTCAAGCAAGCTCTATTTTGGTCCATTGACTAAAAGCCCATTAGCAGTTGGTGTGCATTAGCTGTACTCCAAGGACCACATCTACTGATTTAGTTTTAACTGAAATAAATCAATTTTACATGCTCTGATACTGCTCTGCAACATGATAAAAAACACTGCTGTTTGGAACAGCCAGGAAATTAATCATAAAACTTTTCTCCTCATTCGAACTAAAACTGTTGTACAGATGCACCTTGAGACATGAAGGAGCACAAAGCCAGGCCTCAGGTATTATGAAAAAATTTCCTAGGGATCAAGAAGACACAAAGTTGACAAAAGTCTGACTGGGAAGCCTGGACCTTCCTACAAGGAGCCAGTGGAAAGGAAAGCAGCTGACTGTTGTTTATACACATATAAAAAGTAAAGATTGTGGCTCAATCACTTGGTGATTTTGATGTTTAAAGAATTAACCATTTTATTTTCTAATAGTACCTGGCTTTTCCATAGATTAAAAGCTTTTTAATTATAAGAAAATGACTAAACCACCTCCAAACTCAGTCCACTGTAGAGTTCCACATAACAACCAACACTATCTCCTTATAAAGATAGCTTCTTTACTGTAGGCTTCTTTTTGTCACAACATGAAAGGGAAAAATCACCTAATATTCTATGTGCTCTGAAGCTACTTTTGAACTCTCAGAGTTGTACTAATGTCCACAGATTACCTTGGGAGGAAAAAAAATATTTAATTGGATTAAACACTAGGAGCTATTCATTTTATACATATCCTTTTTCCCTCTTCCTTTTTCTTCAGAAGTATTTCATTAGTATTATGATAGATGGAGCTCCCACAGTATTCTGCCCTTCACGATCTCTAGTTTGTACATAGACAAAGTTCTTTGGTCTTTCAAATTCTTGCTTGCCAAGAAGAATTGCAGGTAAAATTAGAGCCTAACTGAACAGAGAAAGTATACCAGTGATAGATATGGTTATAACTTCCTTAGTCCAAAAGTTATATTGCAAAAAGCTTTTCTGAAATGACATTCAAAATAGCTACCATCATGCTAACTTTTATAGGATCCTTTCTGTACACAGATTCTTACATGTTTTTTTTTCCTACTGACTTACAATTATCCCATTGGAAATTTGATAGGGATACGAAAATATCTAAGTGGAAATTTCCATGAGTCTAACATAAAAATGCAGGAATAATAATCAAGGAATGAAACAAACAGCCACATGAACATTAACTTCTGTTAAATAAAGAAAAGTTTGTACATAGACAAAGTTCTTTGGTCTTTCAAATTCTTGCTTGCCAAGAAGAATTGCAGGTAAAATTAGAGCCTAACTGAACAGAGAAAGTATACCAGTGATAGATATGGTTATAACTTCCTTAGTCCAAAAGTTATATTGCAAAAAGCTTTTCTGAAATGACATTCAAAATAGCTACCATCATGCTAACTTTTATAGGATCCTTTCTGTACACAGATTCTTACATGTTTTTTTTTCCTACTGACTTACAATTATCCCATTGGAAATTTGATAGGGATACGAAAATATCTAAGTGGAAATTTCCATGAGTCTAACATAAAAATGCAGGAATAATAATCAAGGAATGAAACAAACAGCCACATGAACATTCACTTCTGTTAAAAATAAAGAAAAAAATATCCTTTCTACCAGATGGATCAGTAGGGAAAATTGCTATAATCAGGGCTTCCTTAACATGTTAGTTCTTTCCAGCTTCTAGATAACATCTCTATGGATCAAGAATATGTAAGATTATTGTAAGATTATCTCCTCCCATGTGAGGAGACCTCTCGATATGATAAGGAGAGGATCAATCAAAGAAAATATTGCCAAGTACAAGGGATTTTCTAATTTTATGAGATGTGGATCAATAATGAGATAATCCAGGTTTGTTTTCATTCACACATTAAAAAAAAAAGAAAATTGGGAGAAAGGGAAGCATGAAAAAGTCATCTCCAGTTTATACAATTTATATGTCATCCTACATTGTGGGAAAAAAATATCCTGCATGATTTCTTTAAAATTGTATAGATTGTTTTTTTTTTCAGTTACAGACAGAAATTGCAACCTTTGTTTCTAATAATAAAGCATTTTTATACTGATTTTATGTCCAGAGCAAGCAGGATGTAATACTATTTTTTCTTTTAGTGATATTGTAGCAAGCAAGTAAAAATTTTCAGAAAATAAATTCTTAAAATACATAATACTCATAGTTTATACCAATTTTCTATGTGAATACTGTCACTGAAAGCTTGATATTAAAAGCTGTATAGTTATTAGTTTGTCCCATATAAATAGCTAGAATTTTGATTATTGTGCAGTTCCATTTAATTATTGCAAGCAGTCTATGTGAAACAAAGTTACTTAGTGACTAATTAAAGGTAAAGAAAGAAGACTGGAAAAAATTGCAATCCATTTATGTGTGAGTAATTCAAAGTAAAAATATTGTTAACATCATTAGTCATTATTGACCTATATATTCAAGACACTGTTTTGTGTTTTGTTTTGGTTTTTTTCTCCTCTTATTTCAATAACAGGTGCATATGTCCCCTTGGTTACACTGGCACATTTTGTGAACTTGATATAGACAATTGCATTGGAAACCAGTGCTCTGAATATGGTTTCTGCCAGGACCACTTGCATAATTACAGCTGTAACTGTGTGCCTGGATATGAAGGACCCTTCTGTGAAGTTGAAATTAATGAATGCTCAAGTTCACCTTGCAAAAATGGAGCTACCTGTATGGATTTAATTGGCCACTTTTCATGTCATTGTGCTGCTGGGTTCAAAGGTAAGTTTTTTTGTTTTGAAGTGCCTTGTACTACAGGTGTTGTTGTCCAATTCTATGTAAGCGATGTTTATATGATCATTTAATAACAATTTTATATATATACACAAATATGTCTATATTTGTGTGTTTGTATGACTTACAAGAGTTTTAACTGAATTAGCATGGAAACTCAGATTGTGTCTCCTAATTGTTCCTCAGCTGACCTTCTCTCCACTAAATGTACAATTCTGAGCATGAGCTTTGATGTCGTTGGCAAAAAAAATTGATCAAGTTCCAAAACACAATTTTAATTGTATTATTTTTATTTTCATTGTTATGCAGTCTTATGTGTCATGGATTTAGTCATACACAGGCTGATAAGAACAAATGTTTTGGTACAGAACAGGAAAATCTAAGCATGAGATCAGCAGTATCATCTCTCTGCATGTATGTAATATAAACAGCTATATTTAAGTGAGTTGTTCAGACTCCCCTTCTACTCAGTGGAGATAGGCAGATGCCCTATCATAGACATCTGTTCTAGGATGAGATGGGCTGCAGATTTCTGCATTGGGTTAGATGAATCCCACACAAGCTGACAACGTGATTCCTTTTTGTTCTAATTTTCTGTTTTGTGTGAATACCCTGATACTCAGACTATGTGTGGGAGGCAGAAAATCATTTTGGATTCAGCAATACTGAAGTGTTGCATTCCCAGCCTTTAGTCTATATCACTGAGCACAAACATTAATGCTCTGAAAGCTTCTCTATCTTCATTGACAATCTGTGGTATGCTACCACTAACAAAGACAAAAATAAATAGTATAGCATGCAACAGTGTCATCTGTACTAAGTAATCATTAATTAGCAGCTTATTCTTCTAAGTTGTTGAGGGTTCTTGCTCCAATTCAGGGAGCATGCGTAGTAATAGATTTGTGAGTCCCAGTTAAACCACTGAGATAACACCTGTATTTGGATCTTTCTAGGTCACTGCCAAAGTGCTGAGCTATTAAGTAATTATAACTTCAGTGCTAATTTTTCATTATAAATTCTGGCTAGCTACACTTACTTTTAACATTTCAGCACTAACATTTTTAATTTCAAATATGTTTATATTCATTTACATATATACATACACTTATGTATGTGATATACAGCTGCAGATTTGTTGTCCTCAATTTGAGTATATAATTTCTTGGTCATTTGAATACACATTTAATAAAAGATGATATTTCCTCTTCATGCTCATTTATTAATAAATGTGTAACAAAATGGAGGATTGTCCCTCAGGTAGCCTAAATTCCATTAAGATAGCAGAACTAAATGTCTGACTACAAGCGAAGAGAAAAAAAAGACTTGGCTCACCTGTACAAAATCTAACATGATATATTTCCATTTTGCTGCTGAAACGTCAACCCTTATTTTGTACTTTGCTGGTCTTCATGGGGGACTTCAACCACCCCAATATCTCCTGCAGGGACAATACAGTGGGGTATAAGATCTGCTTGGAAGAGTCCCATGGGTTAGAACCCTGGAGGGAAGAGGGGCCCAAGAAAGCCTATAACCTCCCCCAAGCTCAAGAGTGGTTCATCTCAAAGAGCAGGAAGTCAGACAAAAATGCCAGGAGGCTTGCATGGATGATCAAGGAGCTCCTGGACAAACTCAAACACAAAAAAGAAAACATACAGAGGATGGAAGCAAGGACAGGTAACCTGGGAGGAGACGTTATCTGAGCATGCAGTGATAAGGTTAGGAAAGCCAAAGCCCAAATGCAGTTGAATCTGATAAGGGATGTGAAAGACAACAAGAAGGGCTTCTACAAGGACACAGGTGACAAAGGGAAGAGTAGGGAAAATATGGGCCTATTGCTCAATGAGATAGGAACCTGATGCCACCAGACATGGAAAAGTTTGAGGTACTGAATGCCACCTTTGCCTGAGGGGTTGGATAAGATGACCTCCAGAGGTCACTTCCAACTTGAACCATTCTGTGACTGTGAAAACGAGGACTTGATTATATAAATGATATAATGATATATTACTAGAAAATACTTTTTTTAATTTTATCACCCAATGACATATTGTATAATAGCATTCCCATAGAAGCAAATTCAAAGAAAAATTAAATTTCACAATATTAGTCATTTAGTGTAACTCATTATCACATGTACTGAATATACTGAATTCTGATTTTTCAGAGAGTATAAACCACAAACAATTAATAACAGGCTGTTTAAACTTATAAAAATGTTATCACTACCCTAGCAATTCCATTTTCATATAGTCTCCAACATTTTATGATCCTGGGATATTTTCCAGCACAGAACAGATTTGAAGTTTGGTCATAACTGCACGTTATGAATCAGTGAAGAGTATCTCAGTGTAATACTAAAGAAACACATTTATTCTTATTTCTTTTCTTTTTTTGTGTGTGTTTGTTATGTCATTTCTCTGTAATTCAACTTTATTACATATCCAGATGTACTTCATTTTTCTTCATAAATAGTAAATTCACTTTCAAATGAAATATCAAAGGCAATAGTAAATAAACTAAAGGGTAAAACAGAACTTATTTTGCTCAGGACTCTGTACGTATTTGGGGAACTATCATACTTTGTGTACTAGGATTCATTGATTTGTAAATAAGCCATGAGTTCCCAGTCACCAATTTGATTTCTCTCCTGCTAATAAACAAATCCCTGGGTACCTTTGATATAAACATTAGAATCAGTTTTTATTTCAGAAGCAAAATTTTACGTGGACAACACATAGCTGTCTCCTCTGTCTAGATGATTGATTGATCTGATGTCTATCAGCATTTCTCAAATTCTTTACATTCTATTAGGTAGGGACCCCTCAGGCACTGTAATGGGATTTGTCAACATGAAAAGCATGATCTGATTTGGTAAAAAACAAGTTCATAAAAAATCCAAGTCTTGGGTATTTGCACAGTAAGAACAAATACTTTGTAACATCATGTACCACAGTCTTTCCTTTTGAACTGTAAACTGTACTTGTGATGGAAACTGTAATATGGAGACATTTTGTAGATGTCTGGAGTACTCTCCACTGCCTACAAGAGAAATTGGCCTATGTCCAACTTGGAATTTTGCAGTATGATCTTTAAAAATTGAGTAAATAATTTTTTCAACAAAATTATCCCTTCCTTCTGACCATGTGACGACCCTCTATATTGCCCTCTCCTGGCTCAGTTCTTCAAACATAACGTAATTCTGTTCAGCTTCAAAGTCATTCCCAGTCTATCCCTTCTTCCATATCTTTGTGTTAACTCTATCTCAAAACATGAGAGTTCAGCATTAACTGATTCCAACTCTCATGATGACTGGTATTTCTAAACAAATAGCACTGTGCTTCATTTCTGGTTTAAAAGAAGCTCTTCTAGGAATTATTTGAAAAAAGGTTGTCTTTATCCAAACACATCCTTCATTAAAGCTCTTGTTTGTTTAGATGCCTACAAAAATGTGAAGACAGCTGCTGAGAATTCTAAGTAGATAGGCAATATTGCCTCATTGGTTTCTCTTGAGGGTTTGTATCTATATGATATTGATTGCATAGTTAAGATTTGGAAAATCTTTTTATTCTGAATATATACTGTATCTCACATAGCAAGATACTCATCCATCATTGCTTTACTTATGCGTATGTAACAAATAACAGTATTAAGGCTCATCACCAATGTAGGCCTTCCAGTGGCTTTTTGAGTTTGACATTTATATAGTCTATATATGATGCTCTTCAGTATTCTCTCGTTTTGTCCAAAAGAGGAAAGTGGCATGTGGGCATTTTTAATATCATTCTATTACTTTAAAATTCTGTGCTTTGTTTTTACTTTTTTTATTGCACAAATACATCAGACAAGTCCACTTAACATTTGGAGTCTATTTGAAGAAGTATTTAAGTGTTTGTACTTTCAGTAAGTTATTAATTGTTTTTAAATTGTTTGGATGTTTTTTAAAATATTTTCACCCTTCTGTGATACATGTGAAGAGTATATCCTTGATGCCATTAAGAAAAACAAATCTTGAAGGAAAAAACATGAAGTTGTGTGAAAACCAATCCTTTTCAACACAGGAAGTTTAGAAACACTTAACCCCTTGTACAAATAAAGTCTAGAACAGCTGATGGACACCCTAATAAGTAATGAAGATTGACACTGTTAACAGGGAGCAGCAAGAGCAAGGCTGCTCCATGAGGGGAGCCGCAAACCAGGATCCAAGGTTAACCCCAGTGCAGGCAGTGCCATCACTAAGCAAGGCACAGTCCTGCAGCATCTAAACAGGGTGGGCAGAGCCAGGGGCTGGTAACAGGGTACCTCACAAGCCCCAGGCATCACAAGCAATGGAACAGGTCCAGGGTCCATCCGTGGAAGCAAGTTAGAAGCAGTAGGAAACAGGATCAGAGGCAAAGCTACAATGTATGTACAAGGGGTCCATCCAAAGAGAAAAATTACTTACAGTGTGGGCTGAAGTCCATTCTTGAGACAGGGCCAGAAGCAGGACTGGAAACAGGCACATCTATGGAATAGCTCGGGCCAGATCTGGGTGCCTACAGCTGAGTAGAGCTGAGCTGAAACAGAGTTCATTGGACAATGGGCAGGGTGTGTGGGAAGGTTCCACGTGAGGCTGCTTACGGCAATTGGGGCCTATTAGTGTTCTCAGGGCCCTGATATCTGCTTATCTTAGCAGCATCACCGGAAATTATGAAATTATTATTTCTGCTGCACAAAGGAAGGCAACTGGCTTCAGCTGGTTTGTTCACATGCCCTTTCTCCATTACCTGCTTCCATTTCCATTCATACAGTTACTATTTTAATGGGGCAAAGCCATCTTGTGAGTACAGTTCATATCTGCTCCCACATCTCCAGCACCAAACAAGGCTGGGTTGGGTGTGCGACTCAGGGCATCAGGTAGTGCAGCCTCCGTGGGGGCTCTGCCTGGCTTTTTCTGCTAGGGGAGACTGATTATCCTTGGCACCCTGTGCCAATGCAACCTGCCTGTCAGA